TGCGCCCGAGGGGCTCAGCCTTCCTGGCACTCGACCTCAGCTGCACTTGACTCCTGCCTCCTCGCAGTGCTGGCTGCCTCGCCGTTTGTCCCGCGGCACTGGCCTCGCCTTGGGGCCCTCGCTGCCCCTTCCTCTTCCTCCCGCGTGCTGGGCTCTGGTGCCCTTGGCAACAGACGGGGCTCTCCCTGTGCCGTTCTTGTTTCCTGCTCAGGGTTTCTTAGCAGGTGTTACTGGTGCTTCGAATGAAGTAGTTGTCCTCGTGTGCACGTTCTCGTGGCCCCGTCCCCCTAAATGGCAGTAGCATTCCCCGGTCACCGTGGACACCGACGGCGGCACCCGAATTTCCCAGTGTCCCCTGGGAAAACTCCAGCAACTGCCACCAGGTCCCCGCGGCTCCACCTGTCCCTGTGCACACAGCCCCCAAGTTTCTCCTGCTAGTGTCCACTCTCCCTTGAGCTTCAGACTCGTCTGAGATCTCTCCGCTGGTCTGTTTTCTAGTCTCCACCTTAATGTGTTTAAATGAGAATTCTTGCTTTCCCCTCAGACCTTCTCCTTCCCCTCCCGTCCCGGTAATAGTGCTGTTCGCTTAGTTGTTTGGGCTGGGGACCTGGGACCAGTCCTCACATGTCACACCCATTTCGTCCCTGTCTGCGGGACAGACCCCCCAGAGTCGCCACTCTGACTCGAGCTGTCACCTTCCCTGCCTGGACTGTCACAGTAATGGCTTAAAACTGTTTATTAGCCTGAAATACAGCCGGCATAGGGTTCAGGTTCAGCTCGGTGAGCTTCTCAGAGAGAGCATCACCACCCAGATGAGCAGGAAGGCTGCCAGCCCGCCAGAACCCCACTGTGCGGGGCCCCCACTCCACCAGAGCAGCTCTGTCTTCATGGGGTAGTCACTGCTTTGCTCTGTGTTTCCACCAAAGCATGCATTCTTAAACATTGTCGTTTAGAGTGCCTGTTTTTTAATGGATGTAATCCATCTATAAATGTAGTTACATGTTGTCTATTCTCCTTTTTCCTTTTTAAAAATTTGTTTGTTTATTGTTGACAGTGTGAGAGCAGGGGAGGAGCAGAGGGAGGGAGGGAGGGAGGGAGAGAGAGAGAGAGAGAGAGAGAGAGAGAGAGAGAGAGAACTTTAAGCAGGCTCCGTGCTGTCAGCACAGAGCCCGCTGCGGGGCTTGATCTCAAGAGCTGTGAGATCATGACCTGAGCTGAAACCAGGAGTTGGGCCCTTAACTGACTCAACCACCCAAGCACCCTGTGTTGTGTATATATATCTGGCTGTGTACGCATATGTATAGTGTATTATGTGTCGTGTGTGGTACGGGCCTGGTTTCTTTTGCATGACTGTGTCGCGTGTAGCTGTGTGTCATTTATTTTCACTTTTGTTCCACTGTATGAATTCACCACAGTTTCTTGACCTCTTCTATTGCTAGATATTTGGGTGTTTTCATTTTTTTTGGCTGTTACGAGTGATGCTGCTGTAAACATACAGCAAAGACACAATGGAATATTTCTCAGCCATAAAAATGAAATCTTGTCATTTGTGACAACATGGATGGACCTTGGGAGCATTACGCCAAGTGGGATAAGACAGAGAAAGACCGATACCAAATGATCTCACGCATGTGAGATCACAGAAGGAGAGTACAGGTTGGTGTAGCCATGGGGGCTTAGCAGGTGGACGACATGGGTGAAGGGGTCAGAATACAGACTTCCAGTTATAAACTAAGTCCAGGGGATGTCACGTACGGCCTGGCGATGAGAGTTAACAGTGCCGTGTTGTGTATTTGAAAGTCGCTAAGGGGCTAGATGTTAAAAGGTCTCATCAAAAGAGAAATTTGTGATTGTGTGTGGATGGCTGTTAACTTGCCGGACTTTGCTCATTGCGGAATATATACGAATATCGGCTCCCTGTGTTGCGCACCTGAGACTAATATGACAGTGTAAGTCAATTCTGTCTCAGTTGGAAAGAAAGGAGCCCCCCTCCGGCATCACCTTCACCCTCAGGCCTTTCTTGCCTCAGGTGGGCGTGTGTCTTTGTATCACTTTACCACCTCCCTCACTACATTCTTCAGTATGTCTTTTCATGTGTGTTTCCTTACTTACTGGCTGTCTTCCTTCACTGGAACGGAAGGGAAGCCCGTGGAAGGAGGGGCCTTGTCTCTCCTTCACCACTGCGTCTGCGCTGGCCGGAGGAGTGGGGCCTGGCAGCCGCGTGGGTAGCGGCTGGCCCCTTCTAGTCCAGCTGGCCGAGGGGCGTGTGGACACCACTGCCCCGGGGCTTCGTGCAGCCCCTCAAAGCTTCAGATAGGACCAGAGGGCAAATGTAAGTAAATACCATTTGGATGAGCGATTCCGCGATTAGAATTGTAACTGGGCACTTTCCAGGACATCAGATTACGTGGCAAAACAGAGACGTGACACGCTTCCAGGCCAGCGGTTAGAGCAATATTTTGATGACACCGGTGAAGTATTTAGTTAGAGTGTCCTGTGTTTACAAGGTGTAGATTCACTGTGGCCCTTCTCTCGGCCTCTCTCGCTTAAGCTGTTACCCACGGGGGGAAGTGTGGTCTCTGTCTCTTTAGGGAGAGTGTGAGCTGTTAACAGTGTCAGACCCTTACTTCCATCCAGTGACATTTCGTCCCCGTCTTCCTCTGGAGACTGATCCATAGGGCGGTGGCAGGGGGCCAGAGGCTGCTGCGCATGCGGCCAGGTGGTTGGTACCTGGGTCTGCAGCACTTGTGGTCAGGTGGCAGGTTAACTCCCGGAGCACACGTGCGCGCGTCTCCTCCGGAGAGGGTCGCGGGCTCCCGGCGACTCCCGGTGACTCCCGGCGGCCTCCTTTCCCCCTGGTGGTCCCAGTTTACATTCGTGCCCACAGGGTGTGTCTGTGGCTCCTCGGCTGGGGGGAGGCGGCCTTCTGTCCCATCTGGACGCTCGGGCTCCTGGGCTGCTCCGCTGGGGGCACTGTCATCCCGTTGTGGCCTCAGTTTCCCCACAGCTAATGAGTTGAGCACCTTGTGACATGTTCCTTCATTTTGTGACGTGTCTTCAAGTCTTGTGCTTGATTTTCTTTTGGGTGGTTTATGTATTTTTATTGATTCTGAGAAGTTTCGATACTAGCTCTTTGCTGGTTATGTCTGTAGCAAATACCGTCCTCTCTGGGGCTTCCCTTTTCGTTCTCTTAAAGGTGTCTTGATAGCAGAGGCTCTTAGTTTCAGCGTTCTTAATTTCACCCATCTTTTCCTTTGATGGTTGGTGCTCTTTGGCTTTACCTTTGTAGTTGGTCTAAATTATTTATTGTTTTATATTTCATAAAACAACTGAAATTAATTTTGGGGGGAGTCAGCTTTATTGAGATAAAATTTGCACACAATTAAATGTGCTACTTAAAATATTTTTTTAATGTTTATTTTTGAGAGAGAGAGAGAGAGAGAGAGCGAGACAGACAGAATGGGTGTGGGGGAGGGGCAGAGAGCGAGGGAGACACAGAATCCGAACAGGCTCCAGGCTCTGAGCCGTCAGCACAGAGCCCGACGCGGGGCTCGAACCCACGGACTCTGAGATCATGACCTGAGCCGAAGTCGGACGCTCAACTGACTGAGCCACCCAGGCGCCCCTCAACTTAACTCTTTTTCAAGAAGTCTGGGCTGTTCTCAGTTGTTTGCATGTTTGTGTATCGTTTAGAGTTATCTTGTTTGCATTCGGGCAAGAAGACCTGTTGGGATGTTGGCTGAGGCTGCACGGAATCTGTAGGTGCAGTTTGAGGAGGATTGAGAACTGTAATTTTGAGGCTTCCATCCATGAACTTCCTCGAGTCTCTGCTTGGGAAGGCCTTCAGAGCCGTGGCGGTTCTCGCATGCTACAGGTCTGCACAGCTTTTAAAAACTTACCTGTATGTGTTTCCTAGTAGAGTTGACGTCTTTTTAAGATTGTTCTAGTTTGCTCATACATAGAAACACATTCAGTCACATGTCTGGACCTCGTAATCAGCAGTGTTGGCAAACTCACTTCTTCTAGTGTATCTTCTGATTCTTTTGGACTTTGGGCGTATGTGACGTGGCATCTGTGAGTAACGATGGTTTTACTTCCACTTTTCGGAACCTTACGGCTTGTAGTTATTTGGCAAGGGTTTGGCAATTTTACGGCCCTTCAGAGAACCAGTTTTTGGTTTTGTCTGTCTGTCTGTTTCTTGCCACATCAGCGATGTCTTGGGTGCCTGGGCCCGACACGAAGTGCATCTCTGGCCCGATTCCCTGCTCCCGGGTGGCCACCCTTCTTGCCCAGGACCGTTCTTCTCTCGTCACTCGTCCGCGTCTGTGTGCGGGTTTGGGTTCACTCTGGAGCCTTCCACATAGAGGACGAGGAGGCCAGGACTTGGGACGGCGTTTCTCGGTGGCGGGGCTGGGCCTCAGTCTCTCGGTGGCCACTGGTCTTCGGCGGTTGCCGAAGTGCCGCCTGCTTGCTTCTTCCTACTTTCGTTCTCGGCGCTCGGGCCTGACGCTCCGTGGGGTGCCACGTCGGGGGCTCACAGATTGAGTAGAGTGGCGCCGGGGACCGACAGCTGTGCCGTGCGTGCTCCGGGTCCTGGTTCACGAGCGCCGGTCGGTCCCTCGTTGCTCATGCTCAGAAGGGCCCGTGCCGCTGCTCACAGCGCCAGGAAGCACCATCCGGTTGGAAAACTGGACGCTGTGCTTGACGTGTGAAGTTGAATCGAAACAACCGACAGGGGTATTTTTGAAAGATAATTGACCCCTTCGGTTTCTTCATTTGTCAGATGAAAGGGTTTATAGCTCCAAAATTCTACGTTTTGCTGCCGTAAAGAGCCGCGTACATAGTCATTGTCGGAAACGTAACGGGAATAGGCGTTCACTTTGGACAAACGGGGTTTTAATCTGTTAATGTATATACTCCACAGTTGTTGTTTGGTTAGAATGCCAGCCTGATACTCATTCTGTTTCATAATGCTTTTGCTTTTTCATTTTGTAGAACTGACGCTGAATCCTCCGGAAGGAATTGTGGCGGGTAAGGCACTAAAGTTAGCTTCTTTGTAATTTACTTCTAATTGCCAAAGTGGCCTTCTAAGTTAATTGTGGAAATTTTTTTTTGTTTTTTGCAGGTCCCATGAACGAAGAGAATTTCTTTGAGTGGGAGGCGCTGATCATGTAAGTTAGTTATATGTGCTGTTAGTTTCCAAGACGTTATGGGACATCAGAGCCCGGAATCCAGCTAGCAGCAGGGCTGTGCTCAGAAGTCTCCGTTCGAAGAAAAGACTTCATGCACCTGTTAAATTGAGCTCTTTTTTAATCTGCTGGTCTGAGTAGAAAACAGCAGAGACGTATATCCCGAGAAATGAAAATGTTTCCTGAGAGTCCATAAAAAAGTTTTGTCATACTTTATATTTGCAGAGTTTTAAAATAATAAGTTTTGAATGTTCAGTGGCAGTGCTGGGTTGGCCTCAAACGGTATCGGTGGCTTTGACTTCGGGAAGTCCCTAGGAGCCCACGGGGTTTTTTTTGTTTGTTTTTTTTTAAACATGTATTCATTTTTGGAGAGAGCGAGAGAGAGAGACAGACAGAGCACCAGCTGGGGAGGAGCAGAGAGACAGAGACACAGACAGAATCCGAAGCAGGCTCCAGGTCCGAGCTGTCAGCACAGAGCCCGACGCGGGCTCGAACCCACGAATTGTGAGATCATAACCTGAGCTGAAGTCAGATGCTTAGCTGAGCCACCCAGGTGCCCCAAAGCCTGCAGCTTTGAAGGGGGAAAGGCCCCCGGGGTGGGGAGGGGAAGGTCCCTTGGGTGCAGGTGAGCCTCCGGCCCTGCCCCCCGTGCACCTGCGCTTTCCTCTTCCTCCTGCTCTGTCTCCATTCAGCCCCTCCTCTGCTGCTGCTTTCTTCCTGTGCGTTGCATGGCCTTCCATTGTCCCTGACCCCAAGACGTGGCTTTGTTCTAAGGAGAGCAGTGTGACTCCTGGCCCTGTTCTAGAAAGATCCTGACTGGATCTCGTGATCTTTCACCTGGTGATGTTGCTTAGAGCCGCAAATGGACCCTCTATTCTAGAGTGTTCCAGGGCCCTGTGAGCCAGGCCCTTAGATTGCCTTCTGTCCACTTCAGCTGTACATTTTTGACCATTCCTAGATTTACTGTATTTTCAAATAAACGTGGTTAAGTAAAAGTTAGGAAGTTGGGATTTATCCTCAGTCTCTCAGGTTTCTCTTCGGTACGATGAGACCTCTCAGGTGGCCAGCACGTGTCGAGGCTGGGTTCTGGGGGGTTGAGACGTGCTCTCAGGGGAGGGACCGGGGCTGTGGCTGCACATGTCCTCGCGCTGTCTGCGCATTCCCGGTGCGTCCGCCACGCGAGTTCTTACTGCTTCCCGTGTTCGAGAACCACATTGCTGGCAAGTGTTGTCTGGATGTGAGATAATATGGAAATGGATGAGAAAAGGAGGCTTTTCTGATAAGCAGGATATTTAAAAATGATCAGTAAACATTGTCCAGAGGAAATACAGCACGCCTAACATTCGCTGATAATTTGTAATACCCTGATCGCTTGGGCCTGTGGTACCCAGTTTTTCCTGTGTTTAAATGTTTCTGGCGTGGGGACATCTTTACAGCCTATCTGGGTACGTAAAAGGGTGTTGTAGCTTTTGTCCCCTAAAGCAATTCTAAACGGGACGGGGCGTCTCCTGGTCAGCAGCGTCCCGCGTCTAATGGGACATGGCATTATCTGCTGTGTCGGCTGTAGGTCCTTTGATTTTTAAGGAGACAGGAGATTACATCGTATGAACGTGATTTGTCAGTGCCATTTTTCACGTACCATGTCATGTGTGTCGTCTCTGTGCTAACGTGGACATAGGTGCACGGGTTCCTGTCAGTGGGCCCCCCGTCTTACACGACACTGGCCTCTGCACATCAGCAGACTTCTTTAGAAGCCCTTTAAGGGACACGTCAGGCCCTCGGAATGGTTTCTAACAAGGTGTTTGTTAAAACCTGTTAGCATAACCATTACTAACTTTAGATCAACACCATAAAACGGATATTTTGAAAACCCGTGTTAGCAGTTAGATGCAAAGGCAGCAAAAGCAAAAAGTAAGCAAGTAGGATTGTGTCAAACGAGGAAGCTTCTGCTCAGCAAAGGAAACCACCGACAGAAGGAAGAGGGAGCCTATTTGCAAATCACCTGTCTGATTAGGGCTAATACGCAAACTATAGAAGCACCTCGTACACCTCAAAAGCAAAAAGAGAAACAGTCTGATTGAACGGTGGGCAGAGGATCTGAACAGACATTTTTCTAAGCAAGGCCTCCGGACGGCCGACGGGTCCATGGAAAGATGCTCAACGTCACTCATCACCAGGGGAGAGCAGATCAAAACCTCAGCGAGATTCCGCCTCACACCGGTCAGAATAGAATGGCTGTCACCAAAAAGACAAGAAATCCGAAGTGTCGGTGAGGGTGTGGAGAAGGAGGAGCCCTCGTGCGTTGCCGGTGGGAACGCACACCGGGGCAGCCGCCGTGGAAGACCGAACGGAGGTTCCTCAGAAAGTGAAAACGAGAGCCACCCTTCCACCTGGCAGTTCCGCTTCTGGGGCTTTATCCAAGAGAAGGAAACCACCATTCAAAAGGACGTCTGTACCCCCGTGTGTACCGCAGCGTTACGTGCGACACCGGAGACACGGAAGCGGCCTGAGTTGGTGTCCATCGGTGGATGAATGGATGGAGGAGATTGGGGTGCGTGGGATGGGCAGAGGTGGACAGAAGGTACTGCATCCCGGCCACAGGCGTGTCCCGGACGTGCTGCCGTCACTGACCTCATGGTGCGTGTCGGAGAGTCTTCAAGACGGTAACTCTTGCGAGTTGTCGCAAGAAAAAGACGGGTGGCTTTGTGTGGCGACGGATGTTCCCTGGCCTCACTGGGGTGACCGCGTTGCAGCGTCTACGGATCCGGAGTCCTCGCGCCCCACGCCTGGAACAGAATGCTCCCTGTCAGGCCTCGGTTTGAAAGGAGGTGATGAAGCTTTCTCAGCTGGAGCGCTTTTGTGTTTGAATGGGGCTTTTGCCTTCGTGTGGGATTCCCCTGCTCCAGGGTCTGCTGAGCCTGTGGGTCTTGGTCCTGTTCCAGACCCTTTTACAAACAAGAGGCCGTTTACAAATGTACTTAAAACATCTATTAAGGAATTAAGTGTCCTCCCGGCGATTGGTCTCACCCTGCTTTTTGGCAGACAGCTGGCTGGATTCCACTCCTCAGCGATAGCTCTGCTCTGCTTTCTTTTTATTCTTTGATTGTCTGCAGAGTTTCTTTGTGCGCCGGCGTTTCTAAACCCGCACCTGCCCCGTTTTCTGGGAGGCAGGGTGCCTCCGGCTTTGCCGCCCTGCTCCTCTGCCGGGCTTCCGTCTCTTGTCAGTTGTGCGGTGGGGAAAACCGCTTTTCAGGGGCTCGGGCCACAAGCACGGGGTGCCCGTTCTATTAGGGTTCCCGTCTGAGGACGCGGGTGCATCCTTGGTGACCCCAGATCTCCCCCCGAGAGAACGGGAGGGAGGGAGGGTGTAGGATGGGAGCGGGAGAGCCAAACGGTGAAATTGCCCCCGCCGCTTCTTTGATTGAAAGTAGAAGGCAACCCCGATGGCTTTTGGCTGAGCCGAACGGCCAAGAAGGGGGCTGGGGCTGCTGCCCTCAGATGAACAGACGTGGGGGACACTGCTCGTGATTCGTGTCGCGAGCGGTCTGACCCGGCAGCCCCAGCCTTGGGGGTCTCTTCCGCAGACGGTGTTCTGAAGATCTCTGCGTGAGGTTTATTTCTGCATGCGCTGCAGTAATTAGGAAATGGAAACAACAGTGTCCAACATAGTTTATGAAGCATCCGTACCGCCCAGCGTCGGAATGCCGTGTAACACCGACAGGGTTCGGGCAGAATCTCCATGCTGGCCCAGAAAGGCGTCCATCGTGTGTCATTGGGTGCACAGAGCAGATTAGGGAACAGCGGGCCTAGACCAGTGCCGTCCGTGGGGATGATTTCCTGCCCCCGGGACGCTCAGTGGCATCTGGAGATAGTTGGGGTTGTCACAGCTGGGGGATTAGGGGAGTCCACTGCCAGTGTCTGGGGGGAGCTGCGGAGCACCTCGCCGCGCAGACAGCACAGGCCCGTCGGGCCCAAGATGCCGGTCCTGAGGTCGAGAAACAAGTTTTGCCTGTATTAGGTGTACAAGTTGAAGATTCTGGTGATTTTATAGTTTTGAGGCCACTCCCACAACAGTTTTACAGCATTTCCTGAAAGGTCTTCGTGCCCCCGGTCAGTCCCCATTCCCACCCTGAGCCGTAGGCAGCCTCTCTTCTTTTTGACCCTCGAGATGGGCCGTCCCCGGACTTCTCCTGCAGATGGAATTATAAAGCAGCCAGTCTTGTGTGTCCGGCTTCTCTCACCCTCCTGTGCATTTGCGATTCTGTCCCCTTGCTGCGGCTGTCACGCCTTCGTCTTTGCCACTGACCCCGGCCTCTGGGGGGATGGGCCGCACCTTCTTCCCCACCCGCCAGGCGAGGGGCCTTTGGCCGCTGTGACCAGTGCTGCTGCGGTCCCTCGCGTACGGCGTGGACCCCGTTGTCGCTGTCTGTGCATCGCCGGGTCCACGGAAGTGGAGGTGCTGTGACACAGAGGAAGCTGATGTTTTAATGTCTCCAGAAACTGCCAGGCCATCTTCCAGAGTAGGTCAGAGTTTTACGTTGCCACCAGCACGGATGAGCGCTCCCTCACCCACGCCTGCCGTGTGGCTGTAGCTGCCCTGGGCGTGAGGCCACACCTACCTCATCCTGGACTTGACCTGCGTTTTCTAAGGACTAATGGTGTTGAGCATCTCTTCATGGGCTTATTAGCCATTCATGTATCTTTGGTGAACTTGAGAAGTTTTGCCCATTTTTAATTGGCTTGTCTTCTTTTTCTTAATTTAATTTTATTATAAAAATATTTATTTTTGAGAGAGAGAACAAGCAGGGGCAGAGAGAGAGAGGGAGACAGAGAATCTGAAGCAGGCTC